CTTTTAAGTTAAAAAAATATTACTTTTAAATAATTGAACATCCAAACCCGCAAATAGAAAAATTTATTTTAACATGTAAAGGGTTTTCAGACGCTATTTTTTAATTTAGTAACAACTATTTCAAAATGCAAAGGCTTTTGAACGTGTTTTCGTTGTTGCGGAAGGTGATTATAGGAGCAACGGTTTTTATCTTTGTGAGGTGGAAAAAAATAAAATCTTGCGACGTTGGGTTCTCAGTCCAATGAATAAATTTTATTTCAAGTAAATGACATTAAATTTGTTTGGTCTTTTTCTTTCCTTTTTCCTTTTTCTTTTTCTCACGAGTTGGGTTTCTGAACACTAAAAAGTTTTAAGTTAAAAAAATTTTATTTTCAAATAACCGAACGTCCAAACCCACTAATAGAAAAAATTATTGTAAAACGTAAAGGGTTTTCAGACGCTATTTTTCAATTCAGTAGAAACTATTTCAAAATGCAAAGGGTTTTGAACGTGTTTACGTTATTACGGGAGGCGATTGTAGGAGCAACTGTTCTCAGTCCAAGGAATAAATTTTTTTTCAAGTGAATGACATTAAATTGTTTTGGTCTTTTTTTTTTCTTTTTCCTTTTTTTTTCCTCGCGAGTTGGGTTTCCATACACTAAAAAGTTTTAATTTATAAAAATGTTATTTTCAAATAGCTAAACGTCCCAACCCGCAAATAGAAAAATTTATTTTAATACGTAAAGGGTTTTCAAATGCTATTTTTTAATTTAGTAGCAACTATTTCAAAATGCAAAGGATTTTGAACGTGTTTATGTTATTGAGGGAGGCGATTGTAGGAGCAACGGCTCTAATCTATGTGATGTGGGGAAAAAAATCTCGCGATAAACCCAATGTTGGGTTGATCGAACCCAACTTTGGGTTCTCAGACCAACGAATAAATTTTATTTCAAGTAAATGACATTAAATTTGTTTGGTTTTTTTTTCTTTTTCCTTTTTTTTCCTCGTGAGTTGGGTTTCCGTACGCTAAAAAGTTTTAAGTTAAAAAAATGTTGTTTTCAAATAACCGAACATCCAAACCAGCAAATAGAAAAAATTATTTTAACACGTAAAGGGTTTTCAGATGCTATTTTTTTATTTAGTAGCAACTATTTCAAAATGCAAAGGGTTTTGAACATGTTTATGTTATTGCTGGAGGCGATTGTATGAGCAACGGCTCTAATCTATGTGAAGTGGGAAAAAAAATCTCGTGATGAAGCCAATGTTGGATTGATCAAACCCAACGTTGCGTCCTTAGACCAACGAATAAATTTTATTTCAGGTAAATGACATTAAATTTGTTTGGTCTTTTTTTTCCCCTTTTTTTCCTCGCGAGTTGGGTTTCCATACACAAAAAAGTTTTATGTTAAAAAAATGTTATTTTCAAATAACCTAACGTCCAAACCCGTAAATAAAAAAATTATTTTAACACGTAAAGGGTTTTCAGACGCTGTTTTTTAATTTAGTAGCAACTATTTCAAAATGCAAAGGGTTTTGAACGTGTTTACATTATTGCGGGAGGCGATTGTAGGATCGACTCTTCTCAGTCCAACGAATAAATTTAATTTCAAGTAAATGACATTAAATTTGTTTGGTCTTTTTTTTTTCTTTTTCCTTTTTTTTCTTCGCGAGTTGGGTTTCCGTACACTAAAAAGTTTTAAGTTAAAAAAATGTTATTTTCAAATAACCGAACGTCCAAACCTGCAAATAGAAAAACTTATTTTAACACGTAAAGGGTTTTCACACTCTATTTTTTAATTTAGTAGCAACTATTTCAAAATGCAAAGGGTTTTGAACATGTTTATGTTATTGCTGGAGGCGATTGTATGAGCAACGGCTCTAATCTATGTGAAGTGGGAGATTGATCGAACCCAACGTTGGGTTTTCAGACCAACGAATAAATTTTATTTCAAGTAAATGACATTAAATTTTTTTGGTCTTTTTTTTTCCTTCTTTTCCTCGCGAGTTGGGTTTCCATACACTAAAAAGTTTTAAGTTAAAAAAAATGTTATTTTCAAATAACTGAACGTCCAAACTCGCAAATAAAAAAAATTATTTTAACATGTAAGGGTTTTCAGACGCTATTTTTTTAATTTAGTAGCAACTATTTCAAAATGCAAAGGGTTTTGAACGTGTTTACGTTATTGCTGGAGGCGATTATAGGAGCAGCTGTTCTCAGTCCAACGAATAAATTTTATTTCAAGTAAAGACATTAAATTTGTTTGGTCTTTTTTTTTTCTTTTTCCTTTTTTTTTCCCTCACAAGTTGGGTTTCCGTACACTAAAATGTTTTAAGTTAAAAAAAATGTTATTTTCAAATAACTGAACGTCCCAACCCGCAAATAGAAAAATTTATTTTAACACGTAAAAGGTTTTCAAACGCTATTTTTTAATTTAGTAGCAACTATTTCAAAATGCAAAGGATTTTGAATGTGTTTATGTTATTGCAGGAGGCGATTGTAGGAGCAACGGCTCTAATCTATGTGAAATGGGAAAAAAAATCTTGCGATGAACCCAACATTGGATTGATCGAACCCAACGTTGGGTTCTCAGACCAACGAATAAATTTTACTTCAAGTAAATGACATTAAATTTGTTTGGTCTTTTTTTTTCTTTTTCCTTTTTTTTCCTCGCGAGTTGGGTTTCCGTACACTAATAAGGTTTAAGTTAAAAAAATGTTATTTTCAAATAACCGAACGTCCAAACCCTCAAATAGAAAAAAATATTTTAAAACATAAAGGGTTTTCAGACGTTATTTTTTAATTTAGTAGCAACTATTTCAAAAAAGGAAAGGCATTTGAACGTGTTTACGTTATTGCGGGAGACGATTGTAGGAGCAACTGTTCTAATATATATGACTTGGAGGAAGAAAAATCTTGAAGAACCTAACGTTGGGTTCTCGGGCCAACGAATAAGTTTTATTTCAAGTAAATGACATTAAATTTGTTTGGCCTTTTTTTTTTCTTTTTTTTGTCCTTGGGTTTCCGTACACTAAAAAGTTTTAAATTAAAAAAATGTTATTTTCAAATAACCGAACGTCCAAACCTGCAAATAGAAAAAATTATTTTAAAACGTAAAGGATTTTCAGACACTATTTTTAAATTTGGTAGCAACTATTTCAAATCGCAAAGGGTTTTGAACACGTTTACGTTATTGCGGGAGGCTATTGTAGGAGCAACTGCTCTAATCTATGTGAGGTGGAAAAAAAATCTCGCAGAACCGAACGTTGGGCTCATTGAGACCAACGTTGGGTTCTCAGTCCAACGAATAAATTTTATTTCAAGTAAATGACATTAAATTTGTTTGGTCTTTTTATTTCTTTTTCCTTTTTTTTCCTTGCGAGTTGGGTTTCCGTACACTAAAAAGTTTTAAGTTAAAAAAATATTATTTTCAAATAACTGAACATCCAAACCCACAAATAGAAAAAATTATTTTAAAACGTAAAGGGTTTTTAGACGCTAATTTTTAATTTTTAGTAGCAACTATTTCAAAATGCAAAGAGTTTTGAACGTGCTTACATTATTGCAGGAGGCAATTGTAGGAGCAACTGTTCTAATATATGTGAGTTGGAGAAAGAAAAATCTCGAAGAACCTAACCGAACCCAATGTTAGGTTCGAGGTCCAACGAATAAATTTTATTTCAAGTAAATGGCATTAAATTTGTTTGGTCTTTTTTTTTCCCCTTTTTTTTCCTCGCGAGTTGGGTTTCCGTACACTAAAAAGTTTTAAGTTAAAAAAATGTTATTTTCAAATAACCAAACGTCCAAACCCACAAATAGAAAAATTTATTTTAACACGTAAAGGGTTTTCGGGCGCTATTTTTTGATTTAGTAGCAATTATCTCAAAATGCAAAGGGTTTTGAACGTGTTTACGTTGTTGCGGGAGGCGATTGTAGGAGCAATAGCTCTAATCTTTGTGAGGTGGAAAAAAATAAAATCTCGCGACGTTGGATTCTCAGTCCAATGGATAAATTTTATTTCAAGTAAATGACATTAAATTTGTTTTGTCTTTTTTTTTTCCTTTTACCTTTTTTTTTCTCGCGAGTTGGGTTTCCGTACACTAAAAAGTTTTAAGTTAAAAAAATGTTATTTTCAAATAACCGAATGTCCAAACCCGCAAATAGAAAAAAATATTTTAAAACGTAAAGGGTTTTTAGATGCTATTTTTCAATTCAGTAGCAACTATTTCAAAATGAAAAGGGTTTTGAACGTGTTTACATTATTGCGGGAGGCGATTGTAGGAGCAACTATTCTCAGTCCAACGAATAAATTTTATTTCAAGTAAATGACATTAAATTTGTTTGGTCTTTTTTTTTTCTTTTTCCCTTTTTTCCTCGCGTGTTGGGTTTCCGTACACTAAAAAGTTTTAAGTTAAAAAAATGTTATTTTCAAATAACCAAACGTCCAAACCCACAAATAGAAAAATTTATTTTAACACGTAAAGGGTTTTCAGACGCTATTTTTTGATTTAGTAACAACTATTTCAAAATGCAAAGGATTTTGAACGTGTTTATGTTATTGCGGGAGGCGATTGTAGGAGCAACGACTCTAATCTGTGAAGTGGAGAAAAAAATCTCGTGATGAACCCAACGTTGGGTTCTCTGACCAACGAATAAATTTTATTTCAAGTAAATGACATTAAATTTGTTTGGTCTTTTTATTTCTTTTTCCTTTTTTTTCCTTGCGAGTTGGGTTTCCGTACACTAAAAAGTTTTAAGTTAAAAAAATATTATTTAGTGATTGTATACGTCATACTTGTTATTCGTGACGTCTATTGCCCACATGTTAATCTTGCAAACTTCTAAACCGAATATGAACTTCTCGAAACTATAACAAATAATTAGTTCGCAAATATATATAAATTAATGCAACATAGATAAAAAATCAATCAAAGACACAACTAACTAAACTACTTGGTCTTTAAATTTTTTTTTTAAAAAAAGAAAAAAAAAAAAAAAAAAAAAAAAAAAAAATCCACAAAGAAGCAAAAAGCTAGCAAAAACATACTTGTTAGCTTGCTACAGATATTCATACCTAGCAGCTGAGGTCATGGTGGGGCAAACTCTCTTTCGGACAACTCTTTGGTATGTAAGGAATTATTTTCCTATAAGGACATTATAAGAAATGAATATAAATGTAATATAATAAAGGTCTTGAATCATAAATTTGGTAGATGTATTAAATATCACATGGTATTACCTCTTAGTGGTTTATGCTGTTGGAATATAGAGTTGGGGCCTCTTCCAAAGTAAGCATCACCAATTTAAAAAGAAGTCTTCCGAAAGTCTAACATAGTTCAAAAGAACAACTAAATATCTTGACAAAATCGTTGGTTTGTGTGATATAATGTTTATATTGTACCTGTAAACAAAGGAGAACTTTTATATGAAGATATTTGATTGCTCTTTTGAACAATGATTATATAAAACCATCCGCATGGGTTATCCCTTACCGCCATTCAATCGCCATGTCTGTGAATTTTGTGGATGGTTGAATCAACCTTAAATGAACTAAATAATTGTGGGGTTGTCGCCACCCTACAACAAACTTGCCTCCAAATTCCGCTACTGAATACCAGTGAGGATAGTGTTCACAAAAATAGCACCCACTCCATCCTATAAATGGAGTAAAAAGAGAAGCATATATGACTTTCATCGTGATGATACCTATGAATGCCATTATGCCATTGAATATTCTTTCAGTCTTCGAGACACGATCCAAATTAGTCTATTTTAAATTTTACAGGCTAAAGAGGCAGATTCTGTAGCTGTTATTGAGAGATTCCTCACTTCTTACTTGTAGACTTACTATTAATAATTCAACAAGAACAACCGCATCAATTGAGCTCAATACCATCAATCATGTCTTATTATCCATTCCAGTTATATGTTTTTAGCTTCATGCAGTTAATATTTTTCACTGGGTTTCCTTTTATGTTATTTTTATTCCAATTTTCTTCATATGTAGCATAGACAAAACATGTTTCTCAATAAAGCTAAATTTGTAGACATGCACTCCTTAAACATAGCTAGAATTTCAACTAATTTACATCTTAGTTGGAAAAATATCTAAACAGAACAATGTTGGTCACGAATAGGATCTTAAAGGAAACTGCAAAATAATAATCATTTCAAAATACAATTTGGGATTACCTTTGTAAACCGGGGAAATTTTTTTTAAAAAAATCAAAAAATCGAAAACAATTCAAGAAAATCAAAGGCCCATCGTAGTATATCCCCTTTAAAATAGAAAATGATCATAAAAACTAATTGTATCGGCGTAGCTAACAAACATTCTAGGAAAAAAATGAGGAACAACATTAAATTACTAAAAAAAAACATATAGAGAAGGATAAATTTGTTTGACAAGTAGCATAACATATGAGAGTAAATGTTAGTTCAAATCCAATCTTTCAGTTAAGAATGCTTATTGGAGTATTTATTTTTAGCCTCTAAAGTGTTCATCAGTAAATTTAGAAAGACTCTCCGGAACCCAACCATAGATTAAAAGAGCAATTAAATATGTTTACAAGATTTAAAACTCCACATCATGATGCATACAGATTTAAAACTCCACCACTAAAAAAGCCTATTGTTAAAATTAACACTAAATTTTTTGCTTAGATAAACACGACCCAATATCGTTTTTGCGTATTTACATGTCGGAGTCATACATAAAGTAATCCACAATTACATCAATGACAAACATGCTCATACATAAACTCATTCAAATGAATCTATGTTCGATCTTTGTTAAACAAACTTTAAGCGATTCGATGAAGGCATTGTTGACATCCGAACTCCGATCTAATAAAAATAGTTCGCTAACCCTATCTTAGTTTATATGTGAGTTCAGTTCTTACTCCCAGGTCGGACAATCCTGTCGTTATCTCAGAAAAACATCATAATTATCCCCTGTCACATCACCCTATCAATCAAATACACTTGCCACATGTGACATCATCACCGCCCGGAACAATCAATCCTAAGTCTTGAACCTCCAGCCCCTTGCAGGTCATCATTACTTGGGGAAAATATTGACACATGGCCACCGGCCTCATCGACCAATCACAAGAGAATCCGGCGACCCGAGGTACTGTTGCTGATTTGACTGATTTGATGTAATGTCTACTGAAACTATGCATAAATAATTGAATAAGACTCTTGTAAAGGGCAAGTGGTTTCATACAACAACTCAAGGCATAATTACACTCTCTAAACATATTTTGTGATCTTTTTTTCAACAATAAATAGCCCTTTTTTTCTTAAAGTTGGCTTAAGATTAGCCTTGCTAATTTTGATGTCGACAGTTTGGCGCTAGAGGAAGGGCCCTAATTGTGACAAATAGTCTCATTCTCTCCAAAAAATCCGAGAGCCATGAGTCGTAGCTCAAATTCCAGAAATCCATTTCACACCCACTCTCATGAAACGAATACACCAACAAGTTCTCCATGATGACAGGACCCTCAAACAACCGCTATGAGGGAAACCTGTACCAGCCATCAACGCAACTCCCCGGGAGTGCATAAGGCAAATGTATGGGAATTCGAGCTCATACCACTAGACCCGCGGACCATGATAGAAGGGGGAGAACCCGTCGAAGAACTAGAAGGAGTTCAAGTCTGTGCCAAGGACCCAACAAAGGAGCTCAAAGTCGGGCGCGAGCTGCAGCCATCCACCCAAAACGAAATTGTGGCCTTCTTTAGACAAAACCTTGATGTCTTCTCTTGGAATAACGGGGACATGAGAGGAATAGACCCCAACATCGCATGCCACAAATTACTGGTGGATCCTTCAGTTCGGCCAAAGTAGCAAAAACGACGACCTCTGAACCTTGAAAGATATGAAGCACTCAACAAGGAGGTGCAAAAACTATTGCAAAACGGTTTCCTCCGTGAGGCCAAATACCCGAAGTGCGTCACAAATCCGGTCCTTGTGAAAAAACACAACGGAGATTAGAGGGTATGCATAGACTTCACCGACCTCAATAAAGCATGTCCAAAAGACAGTTTCCTTTGCCAAGAATAGATCAAATGGTGAACGCCACTGCCGGACATGAACTACTCAGCTTCATGGACGCGTATTCCGGATATAACCAGATACCGATGTACAGCCCAGATCAAGAACATGCCTCGTTTGTAACTGACCGAGGTCTTTACTGCTACATAGTAATGCCATTTGGTCTCAAAAACGCTGGTGCGACCTACCAACGACTAGTAAATTCCATGTTTTCCCAACAGATCGGAAAAAAAAATGGAAGTGCATGTTGACGTTATGCTAGTTGAAAGCATCAAGGCCAAGGATCACTGTCAGCACCTGACCGAAATGTTTGATATACTGAGGAAGTATGGAATGAAGTTGAACCCAAGGAAATGTGCTTTTGGGGTCAGCTCTGGAAGATTCCTAGGTTACATTGTGAACAACCGAGGAATCGAGGCAAATCTTGAAAAAATACAAGTTGTCATCCAAATGAGGCCTCCAACTAAACCTAGAGAGGTACAAAGTTTAACCGAAAGGATTGCCGCCCTCAGTCGGTTCGTCTCCAAGTCTACGGACCGTTGCAAACCCTTCTTTGACACGTTACGAGGAGGAAAGAAGTTCGAATGGACCAAAGAATGCCAGGATGCATTTAACGAGCTAAAGAGACAACTAGCTCAGCCTCCATTGTTTTCAAAACCTAAGGCCGACGAGGTCCTGAAGCTTTATTTATCTATTTCAGAACACGCCATTAGTGCGGTTCTAACCCGGGAAGAGAACAGTGTTCAACACCCAGTCAATTATGTAAGCAAGGCGCTTCACAAAGCCGAGCTCAGATATTCACCTATAGAGAAACTGGCATTCACCCTGCTGATGGTCGTACGAAAACTAAGGCCATATTTTTTGGAACACCCCATTGAGGTCTTCACCAACTCTCCATTAAGGCAAACACTATAAAGTCCCAACACTTCAGGTCGAATGGTAAAATGAGTAGTCGAGCTCGGACAATTCGATATCAAATACACGCCACATTCCACCATCAAGGGCCAAGCACTCGCCAACTTTGTCTCTGAGTTCTGCAACGTCCCAATCGAGGAACTACAAAAAGAAACCCCATGGAGACTTTATGTCGATGGTTCATCCACTGGAGAACGATCTGGACAGGCGTCGTATTAATCAACCCTGAACATCGCATATTCTGCAAAGCCTTGCCATTTCACTTTAAAGCTTCAAATAATGAGGCAGAGTACGAAGCTCTCATTGCCGGCACAAGGATGGCCTCAGGGTTGGGGATCTCCGACCTGATCATACACAGCGACTCTCAACTAGTCATAAATCAGGTCAACGGTGTATATGTGGCGCAAGAAGAAAGAATGGACAACTATCTACAAGTTGTAAGAAAAGAACTTGAAAGGTTCAACACCACCGAACTCAAGCAAATTCCCCGATCGCAGAACGATCACGCCGACGCACTGGCCCGGCTAGCCACCAGTGAGGGAATTGAAGAATTCGATAGCATCCCCATGGGAAGAATATCCCTATCGTCTACCGAGCTGGACAAAGTGGTCCATATGATGATAGACCCCAAACCAACCTGGCAGGATGAGATCGTCACCTACCTAAAAATCGAGAAATGTCCCAAAAATTTTGCAGAGGCTAGAAAGCTTTGAATCAGGTCGGTCAGGTATACACTCATTGACGATGTACTATACAAACGGGGATATTCTACACCTTTGTTAAGGTGTTTAAATGAAAAAGAAGCTTAGCATGCCGTGCAAGATGTTCACGAAAGAATATGTGGAAACCATTCAAGTGGGCTCTCACTAGCCCACAAGATCATACGACAAGAATACTTTTGGCCTGCAATAAGACGTGATTCCCTTGAATTTGTCAAAAGATATGACAAATGCCAGCACCTCGCCCCCATCATAAATGCTCTATCGTGCGAGTTGAACCCAGTAACAGCACCTTGGCCCTTTGTGAAATGGGGGGTCAACCTAATTGGACCTATGCCCGTTGGAAAAGGAGGTATAAAATTCGCCATCGTCACAGTTGATTACTTCACCAAATGGGCCGAGGCAGAACCAATTGCCAAGATCACCGAACAGAAAACAACCGACTTTTTGTGAAAATCAATCATCTGCAGGTTCGGCATACCTCACTCCATTGTTACGGATAATGAAAACAGTTCGACAAAGCACGACTTTCAGATTTCTGTGAAGAGTTCGACATCAAGAAATATTTCTCAACGCCAAACCATCCGCAGGCAAACGGCCAAGTCAAAGCCATTAACAAAATTATTAAGCATACATTGAAAGCAAAACTCGACTTGTTTAAAGGAGGACGAGCCGACGAACTCCCTAGTGTGCTATGGTTTTATTGCACCACTACAAGGACTAACATGGGAGAAATACCATTCTCACTGGCTTTCGGTGTAGAGGCTGTGATCCCACTAGAAGTCAGCATTCCCTCGCTGCGTATAACTGATTATGATGAAGAAAGGAACCACATGGCTCTTCGTACGGAACTGGACCTAACCGAGGAGAAAAGGAACAATGCTGAACTTAAAAATGCCGTTTACAAGCAGCGAAATGTCAAGTACTACAATCAAAAAGTTCAAAAAAGAGAATTCGAAGTAGGATCCCTCGTATTACGGAAAGTATTCCTCCCCACAAGAGAGGTAGGCAGTGGATGCCTAGGCCTGAATTGGGAGGGCCCCTATCTGATAACGAAGGTCCTGCTAAAAGGGGGATATGAGCTGGAAGACTTGGAGGGTAGACCTTTATCCTATCCTTGGAATGCTGAACACCTCAAGCAGTATTATCAATGAACGGGAAAAGTCCGTGACATATAAAGCCCACTTGTAATGACAATCACACCAACGAAAAGGGCGTAAGTGTTGTGACCCTTAGTGGACATTCCCTCTAAGAAACCTTACAAAGCCCTGCTACATACACAGGTCGATCTAAGGCTGTACGTGCTACCCTTAGTGGACATTCCTCTTAAGAAATCTTACAAAGCCCTGCTCCATACGCAGGCCGATCTAAGGGCGTAAGTACTGCGACCCTTAGTGGACATTCCTCCTAAGGAATCTTACAAAGCCCTTCTACATACGCAGGTCGATCTAAGGCTGTACGTGTTACCCTTAGTGGATATTCCTCCTAAGAAATTTTACAAAGCCCTGCTACATACGCAGGCCGATTTAAGGCTGTACGTGTTATCCTTAGTGGACATTCCTCCTAAGGAATCTTACAAAGCCCTTCTACATACGCAGGTCGATCTAAGGCTGTACGTGTTACCCTTAGTGGATATTCCTCCTAAGAAATTTTACAAAGCCCTGCTACATACGCAGGCCGATTTAAGGCTGTACGTGTTATCCTTAGTGGACATTCCTCCTAAGGAATCTTACAAAGTTCTGCTCCATACGTAGGCCCATCTAAGGTCATAAGTGCTGTGACCCTTAGTGTACATTCCTCCTAAGAAATCTTACAAAGCCCTGCTACTTACGCAGGCTGATCTAAGGTTGTACGTGTTACCATTAGTGGACATTCCTCCTAAAAAATCTTACAAAGTCCTGCTCCATACGCAGGCCGATCTAAGGTCGTAAGTGCTGTGACCTTTAGTGGACATTCTTTCTAAGGAATCTTACAAAGCCCTGCTACTTACGCAGGCCGATCTAAGGTTGTACGTGTTACCATTAGTGGACATTCCTCCTAAAAAATCTTACAAAGTCCTGCTCCATACGCAGGCCGATCTAAGGTCGTAAGTGCTGTGACCTTTAGTGGACATTCTTTCTAAGGAATCTTACAAAGCCCTGCTACATACGCAGACCGATCTAAGGCTGTATGTGTTACCTTTAGTGGACATTCCTCCTAAGAAATCTTACAAAGCCCTGCTACTTATGCAGATCGATCTAAGGCTGTACGTGTTACCCTTAGTGGACATTCATCCTAAGGAATCTTATAAAACCCTGCTACATATACAGGCCGATCTAAGGTTGTATGTGTTACCCTTAGTGGACATTTCTCCTAAGGAATCTTACAAAGCCCTGCTCCATACGCAGGCCGATCTAAGGTCGTAAGTGCTGCGACCCTTAGTGGACATTCCTCCTAAGGAATCTTACAAAGCCCTGCTATATACGCAGGCCAATATAAGGTTGTACGTGTTATCCTTAGTGGACATTCCTCCTATGGAATCTTACAAAGCCCTGCTTCATATGCAGGCCGATCTAAAGTCGTAAGTGCTGCGACCCTTAGTGAACATTCCTACTAAGGAATCTTACAAAGCCTTGCTACATACGTAGGCCGATCTAAGGCTGTACATGTTACCCTTAGTGGACATTCCTCCTAAGGAATCGTACAAAGCCCTGCTACTTACGTAGCCCGATCTAAGGCTGTACGTGTTACCCTTAGTGGACATTCCTACTAAGGAATCTTACAAAGCTCTGCTACATACGTAGGCCGATCTAAGGTTGTAAATGCTACGACCCTTAGCAAAAATTCCTATTTGGAAATTCTACGAAGCCCAGCAGCATGTGCAGGCCTATCTAGGTTTGCATGCCTTATGAGTTCTATCACATACGTTGACTAGAAGACATTCCATCATAAAAATTCATGAAAGGATGAAATAAGCAATAAAATTTAGACCCCACAGAAAAAAAGAAAAAACATGCATTTTCATAAGCATTCAAAATAGAGTATGGCTCATCTTCGAACACAAACAAGATATCCATAAAGTTTAACAAATTTATCACAAATCCAAAAAATGTCCTAAGAAGAGCTAGGGGGAGGGAGGTCTTCGCGAGGAGCGACATCATCTTCATTAGCAGGAGAAATCCAAACCCCTGTCGCTTCCGACAAACGCTGAAGCTCTTCCTTCTGCTCTTCCACAGTCTCCTCAAGGAAACCCACATCGAACCCTGGCCTCTCTCTATGAATGTGTTTTACTACTTCTTCCAGAGCTACGATGTAAGCATCATGAGCAAGAGCATCAAACTTAGAGGACGACCTCCAAGTCTCCATTGCACTCGCAGCCCCAGATTCAGCCTCCTCAACTCTAACAAATATCACCTCAATAAACCAATCAAAATCGACCTGAACTGGTCAGAATCGATGTAGACACTGCGACGGTGGAAGGCCTCGGCACCCTGGTTTGAATCAAGTCGGCCTGGAAAAGGTTGGAATTCGAGAGCAAAAATTTGCAAGATCTATGTTTCTTCAGCAATGCACGAATTGCTTCCGCTCGCCTCTGAGTGTCTTTCATCAGTGTTAGCCTCTTGTAATCGGCACAGTAACATGATATCAACTAGAGCCACTCGGAATACAATCTAGGTCAAAACACCAAGAGGTAGTTACTTACATAACGAATGATAAAGCACTAGGACCATGTCGTCCCTATTCACCTCGGCAGAATGAAACTGCCACTCCCCCGACACATATAACCACTCTTCCTTCCATTTCTTAATCGAGGAGGGGGTATCTAAGACCAGAGAACCTCCCATTCTTGGCCTAACACTTGTGTACCACCAACCCGAGTTCTTCCCATCCTCCTTAAAAGTAAATAAAGAGTTGAACTGCTCAAACATAAGCTCAGGGTTACCTAATCTATCCCACAGAATAAGCGCGGCGATCAGAGTTCGCCACCCATTTGGGCATAACTGGGTCGGAGCTATGTCCCAAGAAGACAAGAACTTACGGATAACCCTAGGAATAGGTAATCTCAGCCCGGCTTGAAGGATGGTAGAATTCAATATGACACATCCCATAGGAGGAGCATCAGCATGGTCAGATGGTTTAGGGATTATCATAATTACCGAACTCGAAATATCATATTTTGCCCTCCAACTAGCTAACATATCACCTGTAACTACCGACCTGTAAGAACTAGCCCCCCACTCCAACTGAACGTTCCCTTCACTACCCATAGGGGAACCCACCTCCTCGTCTACCCTATCTCGCCCCATCTCCCCAGGATGGGCCAAAGTAATGGGGTTAGCAACAGAAATAGGAACAAGAGTAAAAATCTCTCTACACCCCGAGGACGAACTATAAGTAGAAGGGATGGATTCTTCCTGTTGATTTCCCCAGGATTGAACCCTTGACTCGTCCTAACTCATAAAAAAGAATAAAACAAACGGACTAAGTGAAGAAGCTAAGGAATACCTGGGAACTCGAAGGACGACCTTACTCAAACGACAGACAGGGCGTGCTCGTAATTCCTTGGTGCTTTGAGAGAAAACAGTGTAAAGTAAAAAGACAAAATGAAAAGCCATTGATTATTTAAAAAGAAGAAAGATAAAGGGTTTTAATCTGGGCCGTTAGTTCAAAATAAAGGAGGGAAGATCTATGGTTGAAATGTCTCCTGGGCAAAATGACACAACATCAGGAAACTTATCAAAGAAGCTATCTAAAAATGCCGTACAGTTCATCCCTGCCCAGGTATGACACTTGGCATAATAAATACTTTTCTTGGAAAAAGAACCCGTGAAGTCAGAAGATCAGCCCCCCTTACGGAAGAACTGACCTAGGGGGTAAGTGTTGACATCCAAACTCTGATATAATAAAAATAGTTCGCTAACCCCACCTCAATTAAATGTGAGTTTGGTCCTTACTCCCAGGTCGGACAATCCCACCGTTATCTCAGAAAAACATCATGATTATCTCCTATCACATCACCCTATCAATCAAATACATTTGCCACAGGTGACATCATCACCGCTCGGAACAACCAATCCTAAGTCCTCAACCTCCAGCCCCTTGCAGGTCACCATTACCTGGGGAAAACATTGACACATGGCCACCAGCCTCATCGACCAATCACAAGAGAATCCGACGACCCGAGTTCCGAGCTCGGTACTGTTGCTGATTTCACTGATTTGATGTAATGTCGGCTGAAACTATGTATAAATAGTTGAATAGGACTCTTGTAAAGGGCAAGTGATTTCATACAACAATTCAAGACATAATTACACTCTCTAAACATATTTTGTGGTCTTTTTTTCAACAATAAATCGCCCTTTTTTCTTAAAGTTGGCTTAATATTAGCCTTGCTAATTTTGACGTCAACAGGCATCATTGCAAGAAATAAAAAATATATATATAATTGAACACTACATAATTAAAATAATGATGACGTTTAGTTCAAATATACAGAAAATTAGAATCTAAAATTAAAAACAACTCTGCAAGCATCACCAATTATTTTGAAGAAAAAGTAACTTTCAAACAAACCAAATATGAAATCGACGTACCAATGGTCAGCGCTCCAAAATTTTGTTGCTAATGTTATGTTCCGCTGTAAGAGTTTCACACAACTCAAAAAAAATAAAAATAAATAAAGCAATAAATTAGAACCCAAAACACACAACAAAAACATGAAATGAAAATACTTTAGGTACATAAAAGTGATAAATGATGGAGTAAACTTATGCTCTATCCTTTTTATGCCCTTCATTGTCAAAACAAATTTAATTTTCGTTCTAGAATACAAAGACGGTACCTTTTTATTGAGAAAAGGGCTTCGTTTGAAATCGAAGCCCCACAAGGTTCTGGAGATCGTTCGAAAAAATAGAAACATTCAAACATTTCAGATGGAAAAAAGTTCTAAAATAAATGTACCGAATTTTAAAAAAAATTAAAAAGAAAATGTCCAACCTTTCTACAATCAAAAAGTTCTAGATGTAAATATTTCCCAATAGGAACTCATTCATATAGAGAAATCTAGATTGGAGAAGCCAAAAATGAAATTGCAGTGTGAGAGGCGATAAGGGCAACCGATGGAGGGTTTTGGTCTGTAGAGAGAGAGTGTGTGTGGGGGGAAATGGAAAGGTTG